GGCCGGGCCTGGTCCCACCGGAAATTCTGTTCCTTGATTACTAATTGTTGTGCCACACCAATAACAAAGAAACAGAATTCCCGGAGGATGAGGCCCAGAAATCAGCATTTTAAAAAGATTCCCAGGTGATTCTAATGTGCAGCCAAGGTTGAGAACCACTGGTATAAGGGAAAAGTGGTAATGCCCCTGACTAAATAGGTATTGCTTGTTTTAAAGATTCTTGCAGCATACCAATTGAAAATTGCTTTAGTAGACTAAGAATAACCACTAGTAGCAGAAGAATCAAAGAAACTCAGAATTTCAGCTGAAAGATTATCTAGTACAGTCCGACCTCTTTAATTAACAGACCGGAAAGCTGAGGCCTACATGCTTACTGACAGTCAATAGCAATATTGCCATAATTAGAAGTTGGCAACATTTTAGAGTTAACATTGAATAAAATTCATTTGTTCTAATAAAAAACACACAACATACCAGATTTCCATTGCATTTGAATAAAATACTTTAAAAATCATTCATTATAAATTCTTATAAATATTTGCATCCTAAATGCTTTCTGCAGTGCCTGGTTGGCACATAAAATAGGCACCAAGTTTTAAAAAACAAATGAGCAAGTGTAATCATTATAGCTTTAAGATTGAAATAATATGTAGATTATTACATGGTAATTTTTAAGTATCTAAAGGTTGCTATGCTTGGAACTATTTGATACTCTATCAGCAATAATATTAGGCTCTGATAACCATGTGGCTTTTGAAGAAATCCTTTTTTTTTTTTTTAATTGCTCCAGCCTTGGAAATCTACAGAACTTACTGAATATTTAATATTGTAAAAAGAAATAAAATACCAAAGACAGAAGGTATACACAGAAAATTATTTACCAAAAACTGAAATAAGTGGAAAACATTCCCTTATTGGGAAATGTCTTTGAATAGAAGCCTGATTATTTTGTTAAAATGCACAGAAGATAAGTTACTGCAAGTGTGTTTAGGATACTGTTTGAAAAGTTTCTACTTGAGAATTCAAGTCTTATTTTCTCTTAAGAAAAATGTAGTTATATCCATTTTATATTTTATTTTATAAGTTCATGTTATGCTTTGATGTCTAATTCAATCTCATTTTCTTTTGTATAATTACTGCTAACTTTTTAAAAAATGCTACATATTTCAAAGGGAAATAATGTTTAAAAGATGTGAAACATTTAATCCTTGAATGCTGGAACCACTTTTAAAGTATCATAAGCACATCTGTAATACATTACAGAGGGAAAAGAATGTATGTGTTCTGTGGCCTATGGGCACTAGGATGGCTGGTTTAGGAAAACTGAGTATTTTGCATTTTGAGTTTTAACAAAAAAAAAATATTCTGATTCTAAAATGAAGAACTTAATCTCAGGGGTGAGCTTTGTGGTCAGGCAAACGTAAGTCAAGTTTTGGTTTCACATTTATTCTCTCCCTTGTCACCTACTTCTTAAAAAGAAATCAGTTTTTTTACAGTGGGCTTGCCTTTGCATTCTATTTTGTTAAGTACTTTTGTTTTCCCTTATTTGATAACTATGACATGGGAAAAACTTAGAACAAAAGAAATCACTATACCAGGAGTTCTTAGTAAGTGTGCTACATGTCTCAGTCAGCTGCAGGTTATGGAGTAAATAATTTTTTACTAATTAAGAAATAGCAAGGTTTGTGAGGGATTTACTCTTTAAACAAAACTACAGCAGATTCAAGTGTACCCCAGTGATAACTTCACACTTGACCACTTGTATTCCATTATGCTTTTTTGGGCAGGAGGGGAAAAGGTGGAGTTAGAGCTGTCAGGGCTGGGTATCCCTTGGGATGTGTGTTGTGTATGTGAATATCATCTATCATTGGTAGAGATAGAGAAGAAAAGTTAGAGAACTTCTGTGCTGCGTTGGTGGATATGATCTCTACTGTTTTCCTCTTTGACATGACACGATATTCACATGCCAGCACATTCCTATATGCAACTAAGTCCCAGTAAGCCAGCTGAAATTCCACCCCTTTCGATCCTATTCCAAAAAGCAGGCAAGGGAGCATGTTAGGGGAATGCATCTTTAATCAACTCACATTTTTTTAAGTAATGGCATGAGGATTTCATATCTTAAGGATATGAGCATCTAAGAACCTGTGATACATTTGACAGCTATGTCATATATACACCATGGCTAATAAACTCCATATTTTTAGATTTTGTGTTTTTGCCTCATTCAGAAACCTAAATCTGGTTTTTTAAATTTTTTAAATAAAGGAAGGTCATATTTAATTGTATGGCAATATAAATTTTTAGAAGCTATCATTGGAATGAACTTAAAAAAAAATTCTTTATTGTTTAAAATATTACATGAGTCTCCTTTTTTCCCCATTGACCTCTCCCCCTCCACCCCCTCCTCACAAGCCCTCACCCCCCCCCCCCCCACTGTCTGTGTCCATTGGTTTTGCTCATATGCACGCATACAAGTCCTTTGGTTGATCTCTTACCCCTCTCACCCCCCATCTTCCCTCATAGGTTGCACAGTCTGTTCGATGCTTCTATGTCTCTGGTTCTATTTATGTTCATCAGTTTATGCTGTTCATTATATTCCATAAATGAGTGAGATCATGTGATATTTATCTTTCCCTGACTGGCTTATTTCGCTTAGCATAATGCTCTCTAATTCCATTTATGCTGTTGCAAATGGTAAGAATTCCTTCTTTTTTTATGGCAGCGTAGAATTCCATTGTGTAGATGTACCACAGTTTTCTAATCCACTTTACAAAAGTATTTTGTAGCCAGTTATTTTACTGACATACATTACTAGAAATTATCATGGAATGGTGTTTATTTTTCTTTTAAGGCTCAAACTAAGTTTTTTTTGAGGATTTTTAGATAGTCATTAGATACCATTTATCCAAGATAATTTTATGATACATAAAACATAGACATTATGTTAAAGTTAGTCTTTATTCCTTACTTGATATAAAAATTAATGACTTATCCTAGAGCTTTCCTAATGTCTGTTTATTTGATATGCTTTTGATTTAGCTTTAGAACCTTCATAATAATAGCTCTTTTACCTTTTTTTAATATTAAATTTACTATATTCTAAGGAAACTAGAGGCCCGGTGCATGAAATTCATGCACTTGGGGGCGTCCCTCAGCCCGACCGGCTCCCTCTCACAGTCTGGAGCCCTCAGGGGATATCCGACTGCTGTGGAGGCAGAAGAGGCTCCTGCCAACACCGCTGCGCTTGCCAGCCATGAGCCTTGCTCAGGGCTTCTGGCTGAGTGGCGCACCCCCTGTGGGAATGCACTGACCATCATGGGGCAGCTCCTGCATTGAGCATCTGCCCCCTGGTGGTCAGTGCGCATCATAGCAACCCATCGTTCTGCTGTTTGGTCGATTAGCATATTAGCCTTTTATTAAGGAAACTAGAGGCCCGGTGCACAAAAATTTGTGCACTCGGGGGGGGGGAGGGGGGGGGTCCCTCAGCCCGGCCTGTGCCCTCTCGCAGTCTGGGACCCCTCAGGAGATAACGACCTGCTGGCTTAGGCCTGCTCCTGGGTGGCAGAGGGCAGGCCCAATCCCTAGGTGCAGCCCCTGGTTGGGCTCAGAGCAGGGCTGATTGGGGAGTTGGGGCGCCGCCCCCTGTCATGCACAGAGCAGGGCGGATTGGGAGGTTGCAATGCCACCCTCAGTCACGCTCAGGGTAGGGCTGATTGGGGGGTTGGGGCACCGCCCCCTATCACACTCAAGGCAGGGTCAATGGGGAGGTTGCGGCGCCACCCCCTGTGATGCACAGAGCAGGGCCAATCAGGGGGTTGGAGCGCTGCCCCCTGTCACACACAGAGCAGGGCCCATCAGGGGGTTGGGGGGCTCCCCCCTGTCACGCACAGAGTAGGGCCGATAGGGGAGTTAGGGCACCGCCCCCTGTCACAAACACAGCAGGGCGGATCAGGGGGTTGGGGCGCCGCCCTCTATCACCCACAGAGCAGGGCCGATCAGGGGGTTGGGGCGCCACCACTGTCACACTCAGGGCAGGGCCGATGGGGAGGTTATGGCTCTACCCCGTCACACACAGAGCAGGGCCCGTGGAGGGGGGGGTTGGGGCGCCACCCCCTGTCACACACAGAGCAGGGCCGATCAGGGGGTTGGGACACCACACCCTGTCACACACAGAGCCGCAGGGAGATCAGGGGGTTTGGGCGCTGCACCCTGTCATGCTGATCTGGTGCCAGGAGGCCTCGCGGCTCCCCTGATCCCGGTGCTTGGAGGCATATTACCCTTTTACTATATAGGATAGAGGCCTGGGGGCCGGCTGGTTTGCCCTGAAGGGTGTCCTGGATCAGGGTGGGGTCCCGACTGGGGTGCCTGGCCAGCCTGGATGAGGAGATGATGGCTGTTTGCAGCTGATCACACACCCTTCAGGGTGGGGTTCCCCACTGGGGTGCCTGGCCAGTCTGGGTGAGGGGCTGAGGGCTGCTTTCAGGCTGGCGGTTTTGACTGAAGCTCCCAACCGCTCCTTTTTTTCTTTTTTTTTTTCTTCTGGGCCAGCTTTAGCTCTGGCTCTAGCTCTGAGCCTTCCGCTGCTGGTTTGTTTGCCGTTCTATAATCGAAACAATGTATAACTTCAGCTCTGAGATCCCGGCCGGCTATATTTGTTAGAATGTTTCAAATTGCCAACTCAGAGGCCGGCAAGGCAGGCGGGGAACGTTGGAGTCTGCAGTCCCTGGAGCAAGCAAGCCTCATGTTCGCTTCCAGCTGCCTGGCTGCCGGCCGCCATCTTGACTGACAGTTAATTTGCATAAGGATACGCTGATTAGCCAATGGGAAGGGTAGCGGTGGTACGCCAATTACCATTTTTCTCTTTTATTAGTGTAGATAGCTACTGGATTAATGTTATCGCTTTAAAATTTTTTTAATGTAAGGGACTCTGATAAATTTTATTTATGAGTAGTTTTTAATATTAAGAGCATTTTCTTGTTTTGCTTTTTTATTATAAGATATTATGAACTGGATCCTCACAAGAGTCTCCTTGACAATTTGAGGAACAAAGTGATCATTGAGTACCCAACATTACATGTGGTATTAAAAGAATCCAGTAAAGACATGAACGTTCTTCACGAAGGTAAGTATCAATTTGTTCCTGTAGTGTTGAGAATAACTCTAATGAGACCAAGCAAAGGGCCATCTGTATTACCTTACATACGTGTTTTCCCAGTAGATTTACACACGTTTACTCTATAGCTACAGTTAATACTGTAAGTGACAAATGAGCTGCTCCTGTCTGGTTTGAGAGAATGTAAGCTATCAATTTAAAATGACTGAACCAGTTTAAATGCCTGGCTATAAAAGGATGCTCTTTGTCTTACATGAGTCCTATGTGTTACTTACCTTAACTCAAAACCATTAGATACCATTTTCAGTTAAGAATTATAGGTACAGGCCAAGTTTCATTGTAACAAACTCCACGTTACCGTAAAGTCCTTGGATTGGATTGAACTCTGTTGTTTAAGATAATATTACCTGAAATATGTAATTCAGTTTTATTGCTATTATTGACGGTAACAGGAAGTAACCTTTACTGTAATGTCTTCTCTGGACAGTATATAATAGCTTTTATTCTTGGGAAAGTTAATAAGGAAAAAAATTTTTCCCAAGTGGCCAAAATTTTGTCAGTTTCACAATTTGAAACTAGATTTTTAATTAGCAAATTTGAAGTTTCTAATAATCAATTATGGATTTCTAAATCTTAAGGTTAATTCTTTTTTATATTTTTTACAGTTTGAAAATAGCCAGGGGTTTTTTTCTCAAATTAAATAAGAAATTTTACTTTTAAATGACCAGTTTTCACTTTTTTTTAAAAAGTTGTATAAAACCTTGCTTTTTCCTTAACATAATTCACATAGCTCTCTCTTTAAATGTTGGTTTCAGGGAAAGTTGTTTAGTAATGTGGGTTACTAGCCAGGGCAAACATTGTCTGTGTAAATAAACATGCACACACAGCACCTCTTTTACCTTGTTTAGGAATGCACATTGAAGTAAGGCTTCCTGTAACGAAGCAAAAAGAAAAGCTACTTTTGTAGTGCACTTGGAACCTTCTTAAGAAACATTTGCTCCTTTTTGGTAGGTGCATGATGTTTGACTTATCTACAGGAAGCACAAGTGACTTGTGCTTTAAGTATAGAGGATAGTTTAGAACTGCTCTAGCAAAGAACTAAGGAGGATCCGACAGGATTTGAAGGAGCATACCAGTTGTCATATCATAAGTACACATACTTTAAAAAACAATGCCAGGCCTTCCCATACATGCATTTCTTTGTGTAAACACTTCAAGGTGTCTGTTTTGTTTTGTTTTTTTTGTGGGGTTTTTTTGTACCTTCTCAAACCATTGGATATTCTTCAGGGTGGTCCCTTAATACAGAAGAAGGATTATATAAGAATAGGACATTTTCTTTGGAAAGCCTTGAAATTCTCTCTCCAAAGCCAAAAACTTGAATTTTTAATCTTGAGTTCATAGCACAAGGTGTCTCTCTTCTAGTTTTGGGAAAATGTGTTTCTGGGCTTAGATTCAGTAGTTTTCACAGTTGATGGTTGTTATAATGTTTGTTATTGTAGATTGCTATAATTTACTTTGTTCCCTATATTGATGAGCAATGGGCAAGTTTTGTTTGTTTGCTTTTTGCTTTTTAAGGAATGAAAAAAGTTGACTGAAAAGATTTAGCAGTTAAGGTAACTCACTAGATTGGAGATGTAGAGTGCTAATCACCCATCTCGTTTCAATCCAGTATGAAGTGATCAGAATAGTGTTACTTGCTTCATAGGTCTTTGTTTGCCAAAATTAACTAGTAGATCAAATGACTTGATGAAAGCGTGCTTCATTTCAGTCTAAGGAAAAAGAATGGAGCTCTATTAAAAGAAAACAACTGGGCAACTTCAGTAAGCAAGGAAAGGGAAAAAGTTCGAAAATTGCAATGCCAAATAGTACAAAGCCCCATTAATTTAAAAATACCAGCATAATATATTTCTCTGTTGTTCTAAGATAACTCAAAATTAGAAAATGCCTCTGCCTTTGAGAAGGAATCCAACCCAAAATTGATTAGTTGAATTAGTGAAAATACCTGGCATAGCAGCTGCTCATACATCAGTCTGTTGTTGGGCCAATGAATCCTTTCATCCATTCTCCTTCTCTCTCCTCCTCTTAGCCCTCCTTTTCCTTCTTTCTCTTCCTTTCTCTTTCAGAGTGTGTGTGAGCTAATGGGTAGATCTCAGGAACACAAATGTAAACTTTACAGTTCAATAGGTGCTAAATAGAATTTGCATTAAGTGCAAAGAAAGCCATAAGAGACAACAACTTGTAATATGGAGACACTTGAAGGACGCTGCTAGAGTTTATAAAATTCCACAAGGATGGGGGCATATCTTAGATGGAAGCTATTTCAAGGCCTTATTCATAAACACCAGTTTGGTTGCTGGTACAATCTTAAATCTAGGTACTATCAGCAAACCTCAAAAAACTTGACAATTGGAATATGAGGCTAGATCCAGGTTTATGATTGTAGCACCAACTCTTATTAGCTTTGGGCCCTTGAGCATTTACTCTGCCTCTCTGAGCTCTATTTTTCTTATTTACACAGTGGAAATAAATGGCTATAAACCTCAAGCAAAATAATCTCTATTTTAACCTTAATTGTTATAGTGTTTTTATATATTATTTCCTTTTAGCTTCACCATACAATGAAATTAATAGAGTAGTCACTCTGGATCTCATTTTGCAGATAAAAAAAAAGAAAGAAAAAACAAAAACCTAATCATCAGAGATATGCAAATTAAAATCACTTTACATCTGCCAGAATGGCTATCATCAGTAAATCAACAAACAACAAGTACTGGCAAGGATCTGGAGAAAAGGGAACCCTCGTGCACTGCTGGTGGGAATGCAGACTGGTGCAGCCACTGTAGAAAACAGTATGGAGTTTCCTCAAAAAATTAAAAATGGAAATTACCTTTGACCCAGTGATCCCACTTCTGGGAATATATCCTAAGAAATTTGAAACAATATATGCATCCCTATGTTCATTGTAGCATTATTTACAAAAGCCAAGATTTGGAAGCAGCCCAAGTGTCCATCAGTAGATGAGTGGTTAAAAATATTGTGGTACACTTACACAATAGAATAGTACTCACCTGTTAAAAAAAAAAAAAAAAAAGGAAAGGAAAGGAAATCTTACCTTTTGCAACAGTATGGATGACCTACATTAATGCTTAGTGAAATAAGCCAGTCAGGAAAAGACAAATACCAGATTATATATATATCATCTAATGAACAAAATAAACTGACAAACAAAATAGAAACAGGCATGGAACAGACTGACAGCTGTCAGAAGGAAGCGGGGGTTGGGGAACTGGATGAAAGAAGGTGAAGGGATTAACCAAAAAACGTATATACATAACACATAGACACAGATAACAGTGTGGTGATGGCCAGAGGGAGATGGGGGTGGGAGGGTAGGTGGAGGGGGGCAAAGGGCTGGGTAATGTGGATGGAATGAGACTTTGCTTGGGGTGATGGGCGCACGATGCAGTGTGCAGATGATGTTTTATTGAGTTGTACACTTGAAACCTGTATGGTTTTGTAAACCAATGCCACCCTGATAAGTTCAATAAAAAATAAATAAAATAAAATTCTGAGTCTTCAAAAACAAAACTGAAAGAGTGACTTGCATTTATATTGATACCGCAAAAGTGCTACCCCAGGGGATAGATATAGGGAGGAAAGGTGCATTCTCTGTCCTCAAGTTTAGTGAGTGATAGACTTGCATGCTCTAGTCGAGGCAGCTCCTTTAAAGGAACTCCATTTCTGCTCTGAGTCGTCTTTCTTGTGAAAGGAAGGACATGGCGATTAGCTAGTCTTCTGTCAGCCCACATTCACTCAACGTATACTGCCCCTCAATTTTAAGTTTAAAAAATATCATGGAAAAGTTTATTCCAACCACACTTGGCTAGCCTATGTGATAATCGCAATCTATTCGGTGGTATGAGTGTGGGATCCTAACCACACTGTGAATGACCATTCTCAAGTCTTCCACACAGTCAGGAAGGATGTTACCTCACAAAATATAATTGCCACTTTCAGACATCATTTCTCTATTTACTGTGGCCAGAATTGTATATCCCAGCTGCCTGGGACATGACATGGTTTGTCTACCCCTGTGAGCAGTGCTATTGGTATGCATCAGAAGGAGAAGAGAAAAGGAAAAAACAGAACAGGCTAAATAGAAACAGTATAAACATGTGACTGTATGTTTATTTTTTTTCAGTGAAAAGTGAATCTACCAAGAACATTGGCAATGAAAATTGAGCACTTCTGGAGGAAGGAAATATCGAGGTTGCAGAGGACGATGCATTGACTAACTCCTGTTGGGTGATTGGGTGTATTGTCAATGGGTTTGTGCGATTTTTTGTTTTTCTGAAAAGTAAACAATCTAAAAAAATTTTTTTTTAAAAAAAAGATGTGTTTTCTAGCCTCTTAAATTGACTTACGAGACCTTATTCCTATTAACCCCTCTTTTGCACCTGGTTGTCATCATGCTTATTTTAATTAGATCCTGGCTTTTAGTATGTTCAGTTATATAGTCTGAAACATTTTCTGATTTGATACAAGGCCAAACCCAAGGATCACCTTTGTCAGCCACAAAGGTGTCAAAAGGCCATGTGACACACCAGCTAACCACCAGTTGCCCATTCTTGCCTTTGATATTTATATGTAACTTACCCTCTTGAGATAAATGAATGGGTCTTTTCTACTTGGTAACACCCAGTAGTATGTCCTATATAAAGGCTGAATAAATACATTTAGCTACTATTTCTTATATTCAGTCAGAAAGTTAGCAACTCCACATCATTGTTTGAACCATCAATGCGCACAAATGTGGCCGCACTTGTTCTCACAGTGAGCTGTGTCCTATGAATTCTGTGCCTTTTATCCATTTTCACTGCACTCTTGTCATTGCCACATAGGGGTGTTGTGATGACCAGTTTTAGGCTGTGTTTTGAAACATCCAGCAATAACTGAAGGAAAAACACTTGGAACTCTTTAGTGTTGTTGGATTGTATATGTGTATGTATGATATACCTGGCTTAATTTATACCTTATGGCAGCTCTGTATACATTATGATCTCACATATTGAAATTAAATGTTCCTAGTTTTATTGGAATTCATACAGTTATGAAATTGCAGCATGACTATAAAAGAGTAAAAGATTATTACATCTGTGTTGCATCTGTGTACTTAATGGTTAAGAAAAACAAAGATAAAATTGGACATTGGTGATATCCATTTTTAGTTTATGATTGGAATAAGTTTTAGACCAAAAGGAAACCAAAGGTATTAATTTAAAGAGATTTGGAAAGATTAGAAATATGAAAAAATACATAATGAGAAGATGAGCCTAGAAGAAACTTGTAGAACACAAATATATAAAACTTGTGGTAAAAATATAAATATATATAAAACAGTAATGCCACAAAGACCAGTTGGTATAAAATTGTGGAAATGGGATTTATAGGAAATAAGTTATTGCGATCTAAAATACATATACTTCCTAAAGCAACTTCAGGAATCTTCTTTCTCATTCAGTAAAAAATTTCTTTAGAATTATGTCATTCACAGTACTGCTGGGGAGACAACTAAATGGCATTTCAAAGGATTCATATTTAATCTAAAAGGGAAATTTGTCTTCTTGAAACAGGCAAGAAATAGAATGAATTGAATCAAAAGTGTGAATAGATGAATAGAATTGTTATTGGGAAAAGTGGGGCGAGGTACATAAATGAACATGTGATCTGAAATCAGGGTGGAGAGGAATTTCCTGACAATGAAATCTGTTATGATGTAGTCTCATTTCCAAGAAAAGTGTTGAGTTCCATCTCTTTTAGAATTTAAACTGAAAACTGGACAAAAACCAAAGAATTTATACTGTGTTTTCCCCCTGCCCAGAAGGCAAAAGAAAGGGGGAAAAAATCTGCATGATGTAATAATGCATCTTTGCCATCACTATAGAATTGTACTAAACTTTTCAATTATAGACTATTCCTTAGGAAAGAATTTAACTAGCACAGTTCCCTTAAATGAACTATCAGCTCATGTGAGTAATATGCACTTTTATTCCCATAGGATTTACAATAAACATGTGTTTTAGTGAATAACCATGTCAACTGCTTGGAGGGGGTGAAATTGGAATAATTGAGGGCTCTAGAAGTTTGTAGTATTAACACCCAATGTCTTTTTTTAGAGTCCCTCTCCATTTTGAATTCTTGACAAATTCTGATGCATAAACAAATTCCCTGACCCATGTTAAGTGCAACATCCTGCATTTTGTTCATGACTCACATTTTAAAAGGAGTAAAGCTCCACCTGGCCTTCTTTATTTTTTAAACAATGATTTCAAAGAGAAGGTAGGCCTTTCATAATCGCTAATTATTATATGTGGGATTATTAGCCATAAATTACTGTAAACAAATCTTGCACCTGTTCACATTATAAATATAAATTAAAGAGAATTACTATCATTTAACTCTATAACTTAAATATAACTTAAATATAATTTAAATTTAACTATGTAATTTAAATATAAAGATATTTAAGAATACAAAGTGTAGTTGAGCCAATTTGTTTCCCTGTAGCAAGAGGTGGGATTCAGGCTTCATGATATAGAATAAATCATTAAACACATATCCGTAATGCCAAAAATTTCCTTTATACATTTTGTTTAATTTGGTTGACATATACAAGTGACATATACAAGATACCTAGTTTGCTTTTATTTAATCATACACCACTGCATTAAACTGTGTTGAGTTTATTCTCAGGTAGATACTGTGTACTTTTGATTATTAATCAATTGTCCCTTAGAAACTCAATTCAAAGTAGTGTCAGCCTGAAGGGCAGTCAATTTATTAGTTCATAAACAGGAAAGTTTATCTAGATCCAAACACCCAAAGAAGCCATCTTTCCATCTCCCACACTTGCCTCTGGTTTTTTTTCTTCCTGGATTGGTTTTCTCATCTAAGCAGACTCTTTAGGGATGCTCTTTTTGGGGTGGGAGACAGCGAGGTGAGGATGTTGGATGACAATTTCAGCTTACATCATCATAACCAAAGCATGGTAGTAAGTTGTGTAAAATGTGGGGGAAGAACTTTGATTTTGTCTAGGTTGGGTCACCTTTCATACCTGAGCTGATCAGGAGAGGAGTTCCCCCAAAAGGAAGGGAACTCCTAGGCTCTCCCGAGACGGCCTGCCATTTCCTCTCCTGGCTTCACCTTCACCAAGAGTTAAGAATTTGAGCCCACATGCATTTGTGAACAGGGGCTAGGTGAACAACGGAAATGATTCATCTTATTTCGGGCAGCATTATTGATGGGGGTTAGTATAAATTATTTTACAAATGAGAAAACCAAGGAACATAGATGTTAAAGCTTATTCTTAGGTCCAGCTGTTAAATGATAAATAATGGAGCTTGGATGTTTTTCTTCTCTTAATTCCTGTCTGTACCTGGCATTATCTTTCTTCCTGTCTATATAAGTATTGATAAAATTATTCTGTATTTAACTGGTCTTGAAGGCCAAACCTGTGGTTGATACTTACATCATCACAGCATCAAGCACAGTTTCTGGCATAAAGTTAAGCCCTCAATAAAGACGAGGTGTTGAGATGAGGTGGGAGGAGTAGGGAAGTTCTCCAGGTTGAAAACAAAAAAACTTTTTAAGGCTTTCTAGTACATTGTTATCTCCCAGTCTATAGGAAAGCCCCTGACTCAGGATAATATTAGTGGCTGAAAACTCAGAACTTAGCAGAAGCTAGGCACCACTCTAGGCACATTATAGCTGTTAATCATTAAATCCTCACGATCCTGTGAGGTGGGCACTGCTGTGTTTCATGGAATCCAAAATGTTATTAATTAAAAATGTGCCATTTAACGTAACACTAAGAAAGAAAAAAAAATGCTGCCAAGCTTTGCGCAGTGGCAGTATCGTAGCCAATGAGGTTTATCCGAGGCACGATTATTACTAATTAAAAAAAATGCTGCCAATTAAATTATAATAATGCTTTTTTTTAAGTTTGACACATTTATTGCTGTTTACTAAAGACATTCATCTCAGCTGTTTCTCCCATTGTGACCATATGTTAATATTTCATTTGAGTCAAGAAAAGAATATGCAGCACATGCTCAGTAAAATGGACGAAAATTAAGTTTGCCTACATTGTAGCGAGTTAAATTTGTGTGTGTTGATATAATTACATCATGTAAGTAAGGACTAATAGTTCTATGTACATTTCTATTGTTTTGCTTGGGGCTTACTCTAAGCTTAAATGCAAACAAACACAGTATTAGGAATATAGGCAGGCTACTTCTCTGGAGTTATGATATAATGCTTTTTAAAAATTTACTTTTGGGTGTTTATACAAATGTAAACAGCTCTTTTTTGTCATTTTATTTCAACAATCTAAGACTCCCCCATTGTAAGATACAGCATTTTGTATACCACTAAGAACACGGCTTAATTAATTGTGTGATACATCCTGACTTGAGATGTTAAAATATGAAAAAAATAATATAGAATTGATGTAATGTAGTATCGAGACAAATTTTTGTATCATTTTGTGCTTATATAAAAGGAAACACATAAGTGAAATTAACTAGGTAAGGCATTCCTAACGCTTCAATCTGACATTTGTGACTGAGACCTCGTGATGCAGCAATTCTCGGTGAAGTGCTCCACCACTGTTGCCGTGATTTTCATTAAAGTTCTGCAACTTTCGATGTTGGTGTTAAGAAGGGTTTCTATTCACAATCGGGACAATGGTTCATGGACTGAAACCTTGAAGGCTTGCAGTTGTCCATTCATGCCTCCTAAGGCAACAACCAAGTCTCCTTGTGCACAAACAAGGACAACTGCATCGAGACTGAGGCCTGGCCAAAGCTGTTTGAGACTAAAGATTTCAGAGATGCAACAATTAAGTACAGTACTATCGCCCCCACTTTATATGGGCAAGGAAACAGTCCCAAACAGATTGGTCACATGGAAAGTAAATAGATGAGCCAGGATTCAAATCAAGGCAAGTTGGGCTTCAGAGGGCAGCCCTGAAGTGGACTCAGCCGTCGTGAAGTCATACTCTATTTCATGATGACTTGGAGTGAATACTATAGTTTACTGCCACTTAAAAATGGAAAAAAAGTATTTTAATAAGCTACTTTATCAGCTTATTTTTCGAAAAGGTAGGCCAGTTTCTTCACACTATGTGAAACTGCTTTTCTTGGAGGCTTTTCTCTTCAACGTTGGACTGCAGGCTGTGTTTCTCTGAGCATGTTTAGTTTCTGTCTTTTATTCATGTCACATACTTCGCTGGTTTGGGCATAAGAACTAATCACTTCAGTTCATTTAAAACCAGGTATTAGTGCTGAAGCCATTTTCTTTCAGTGGATTTGAGGATATTAGTATCAAGTCTGTTTCAGTGTCCATTATGAATTAGGCACCGCCGAGTAGAGCTTGGCGCACAGCAGTTGCAGCAGACCTCAGGGAGTAGCTATCCAGGACTACATCGATGAATGATGAAGGGGCTCACGTGTAAAGGACAAAAGGACGCAAAGGCAACTGTTAATGATTGTCACACTGGCTTTATGTTGAGCCGTAGGAGGAACATGTGCGTGGCTCGCTGGGAACTCCGTCTGAAAGCTGCTGGCCTTGCCCATGGACAGCACAGGCTGGGGGGTCAGGCTGGGGGCAGTTAGGACAACCAAACGAGAAGTATGGTTTCAGGACCTGTTGGAATTCTGGGGAACGGCTTCAGAAGTGGAAATGGGGTGGTTGGAGAAAGGCTCGAACATATAAATAAATGAAAGGCCTTGTAAACAGTGGAATGTGAGTCTTAATCTTTAATTTCATGGAATTAAAGCAAGTGTTCATTCTCTGAACTATATAACCAAGAAGTAAACTAAGCCACGTGATTTTTAAAAGGGAAATGCCCTATCTCAGGTAGGTGATGCAGGGACTATCAAATAGTGGTTTCACTTCTGAATTTCAGAAAAACTTCCCTTCTCCCAGGTTTATGCTAAGCACTTGAAATTATTTTTATTGTGGGAAGAGATTGTCACACACCACCTCTTGGTATAATGATTTCTTTTGGCTCCTTGAACAGTGGGTTCTAGTTCAAGTCCATATGGTATGAATCTGGTGCAAAGACAGTCCCTAAAGCCCAATAACTTCTTATTTTTCCTAGAGCCCTGTGGTCCTGCTCTTCTTGACTGCTGCTCTGTGTTCCTAAAGAAAAACAGTAGAGTCTGATCTCTGTGTTTTGAAGTTTTGGTGGTTGGTGAACCAGATGCTGTGATGCTGTGCTTTAGGGCCCCTGCCAACGTAGAAGAGACAGCAACTTTTTCCATGTTCCTGACAGATTGGAAGGTGTTTTTTCAGTCTCTGCTTCAGATCTCTCCCTGGAAAGGTTTGTCAGTTGTTCGGCCAACATTCTTGGCCTCTGCAGCTAGTGCAGCTAAGAAGCCTGTAAATAGTTCCTGCCACATTTGGACCCTCACAAACAAAACTTCTAAGTATTGGAAATGGAAAACTCGAGGTGGCGAGGAAAGCCAAGCGCGAGCGGGCAGCCAGTCTTCCAGGTGAGGAATTAATGGGACTCTGTAAGAAGGAAGCTACTGTTTGTGGCTGACCTGTGTGTGGACAGTTGAAGGGAGAACATGATCCAGATGTTCTTTTCTCCCTTTCCGAAGTGGCAAGGAGAGTGGGGTGAGGTTTGATTTGATTTTTTTTCTCTAAGCGATCACATTCTTCTGTCCCTAACCAAACTTGTGTGCCCCTTAGGAGTGAGAAGGAAAGCAAGTTATTTCTCAGCTCTTAGCACATCGAAAGGACCTTATTTGAAATTCTGTAACTTAGCTCACCCAATAGGACTTTATGATCTATAGTCTCCTATAGTCCTACTTAGTATTTCTCCAAAGAGTAGTAATGTATCTGTAAAGCTTAGGCCAAGTAATGGTGCAAGTGTAAGTTATATTAAAGGGTATGGTAAAAATCTGTTGTTTGAGACCCAGCATGCATCCACCTGTTTTTTGGTAACCATACCTTGGGCAGCTCCCAGCTCCCCCTGTTCTCATCTGTCTGGTTTGGATGGGATTAAGCTCAACACAGCTTCTGAGTGGGATTTCATCAATCTAAACAAATGAGAGTGTCCCACTCCTGTGAGCGATTGCATGCATGGTTCAGACTATGCAGGTGGGCTAAGCTGGTGCAATCTAAGGGAGCCACAGGACAGGCAGGGCGCAGACTCTTCCCTGCTGTAAAGAGGAAGGCTAAAAGCGGGTTAGCCAGTTTTGCTATTGTAAGGATAGCCAGCCTGAGACTGGTGGCAACTCAGAGGAGGCTGATTAGGTCTAGATTAAACTAAGCCATCTATCCCTGTGGAATGTTCAGTTGCTTTAGCCAGTACACTCTTTATTTTCTTATTTGAGTTTCTTTAAGTTGGATTTTCTGTTAGCTGTATCAAAATTAATACCGGGAAATGAAGTGTGGCAGGTTATAGGCCCTGGATTATAGAATTGGCTGAATCAAGATGGTGAGGAGACTCTCTGTATCTTAGGCTAGAATGTTAGTAAGGATTACATTGCTCTGTAAAGGGGCAAGCAACCTTAAGGACATTTTGTGGAAGTTGCATACAGCACTTCTGTTGACCCATTTGTAGAATTTGGCCACATGGCCACATCTACTTTGCAAGAAAATGGAAGAAAGTCATATACATACATATATACACACACACATATATATATGTATATATATATACACACACACACATATACACACACATATATATACACACATATATATGTGTATATATGTATATATATTGATTTCAGAGAGAAAGGGAGAGGGAGAGAGAGAGAGGATCTTATTACTAAGAAGGAGGATTAAATGGGCATTGGGGCACAAGTAACAGCCTTTGCCACAGTTGGCCATTGATAGTTCTTGCTTTGTGGCCTCATGTGTATTGGCACCATCAGACCATAGATCTCCCCGAGCTGCAGCTTTAAGGGACGTGTAGGCTATAGAATGTTCAGGCTATAGGATGTATTGGCTGAAGGCTTTGTAAATGTTACAAAAAAGAGAAATTTGTTTTGAAACTAATGCTTCTAAAAACCAAGAAGGAATGAAACACTAACACCTCTAAAAACTAAAACACTTTCTGCTTGTGACCTGCAGTCTAAGTCAACTGAGCACAGTAGTCTGGATCCTTGACTGAATGCAAAAGCCAAATTCCTTCCTAAAGCTGTTTGAGCAAAAGAAGGGAGAAGGAAAAAGTATAATAAAGAAAGATGAGGGCCTGGAATAAGTATGATCTTATAAGCCTCTTCTAGCATCCTTCTTTATACCCTTCCAACCTACCAAAAGGGATAGTCATGTCCCTGAAAAGAGGCAGATAGTGTGCAGCCTTCCAGAAAAAGAACAGTAGTTGTTTCTTCCCTCTCCTGGTCATTGCTTTTCATTGTCCCATACAGATGCCAGTATGGAATCAGAAGTCATTAATTTACAGCCATCCCAAACCTGTGTCCTAAGTGAAAACTACAGTCAGCTAGATCTCTAGTTACTAACCCATGGAATTGACCATAGTTCTCCAGAAAAACAGAACCAGTAGGATGTATATATACATATATATATATAGAGAGAGAAATAGATTTATTACAGGAATTGTCTCATTTTACTAGGGTGTCTGGCAAGTCCCAAGATCTGCAAGATGAGAAGGCAGGCTAGAGACACAGGAGAGCTGATGCTTCATCTCAAGCCTGAAGGAATGTCCCAGTTCAAAGGCAGGCGAGTCAGCCTTTTGGTTATATTCAGGCCTTCATCTGATTGGCTGAGGCCCACCCACATTAGGAAAGGCAATCTGCTTTCCTCAGTTTTAGGATTTAAGTGTTAATCTCATCCAAAAACACCCTTACAGAAACATCTAGAATAATGTTTGACCAAATATCTGGGTATCCTGTGGCCCAGTCAAGTTGATGAATAAAATTAACCATCACAACCAGAAACACATAGGTGGGAGCCAACTAGAGTCATGAGAGATTTACATCACAGATAAACCCCC